ATAATTGTAATCATCAGGGAAGATGGGATAGAACCTGCTTATGAATGACTTGGGCTTTTATTTCCCCAACGAGCACCTTAAACAGACTAGGGAGGGCACAGGTTCGCTGGCGAATACCCTAAACCCTAAATCCTAGACCTAAAACCCTAAACCCCTAACACTGAACCCTAAACTCAGCTTTCATGTTCGCAACTTGGCTAAACCCTGAAAACTACACCCTTTGTGTTTCCCCCCCACCGGTATTATAACAGGAGCTACAGTCGATATTTCCTACATTTCCTACATAATCTAATGGACATGGGTTCCTTATTTTGGTGTATATCAGGGACTATACCGAACTACCAGGGGGACCCTATGTCCACCCTCCAGGGTTCCTGGGTAAGCCTAATACTCGCGGTAACCCGCAATGCCTTTCGAGAGGAGTGGCAAAATGGCAGGCCCTGAACCGGTTTAGGGCTTAGGGCTTATAGAAACTGATTGAGGGTTTAGGATTTAGGTTTGAGGGAAAAACCGATTTAGGGTTAGGAGTGGCAGCACTAAACTCAAGTCTCCCTTAATCCTGATAGCGAATCCTCACATTGACTGATACATGCTTCCTAGGTAGCCTCCCTACAACCCTTTCAACATCCCCACCGAAAAGAAAAAAAAAAAGATGGCTTCCACAGCGTTATGGGTCCCTTTTTGGGAGCCCTCATACTGTAATTGGGGGCCCAGATTTATGGAAAAGGATCAACCCAAACCGTAAACCCTTAACATCAAGCGAAACCCTAGACGCTAAACCTTAAACTCGAATCCTAAGGCCCTGAACCCCAAACACTCTCTGACTAACATTGCTCGAACTGCTGGAGCCGCCCATTGCGGCCGATGGCGATGTTTGCGTCGTGCCCCGGGTAGAGCGCAATCACCTGGTCAGGGAATAAGGGAATAGAATCCCTGTATAATTTGGGTCCTGCCGCCACCCAGTAACAGTCTATTTTGGGGGTCCTATTAAGGGCTATATATAACCATATTATAATTATTATCCAACTGTTACTGAGGGGGGGCAGTACCCAATGTATAACCCCTATAGAATAGGAAGCCCATTGAACCCTAAATCTTTACAATCCTTTCTAAGAAGGCTATTGAGACACCACCAGGGCACTGACCCACGATCCGGGATCCAAGGTCGAGGATGGCGCGAACCTGTAAGATCCGATGGTACCAAGCCTATGGGATAATGGAGAAAAAAGGAAACTACTGTAGGGTTTAGAGTTTAGGGTTTAGGGTTGTGGTTATAAAGGGATAACGGAAAATAAAGGAAACTACTATAGTATATTGGGATTATATTGGGATAATGCAAAATAAAATGGAAACCAGGTGTTATATTGGGCTAGAGAATTCAAATCCCCTGAAAACTCATGCCTGCTTGAAAATCTCTGACGTGCATTCGCACCCAAACTAACATGGAACTTGAAACAGGGGCTTAGATGTAGGAGGGGGCAAAAGTCTTGATGCAAGCCCACAACTTTGAAGTTCTTCTTACTGGTGCAAATGCACAAGTTGCATCCAAAGCATTCTCAATACTGAAAACTGCGACATGCACTTGATACCCTCCGCATGTCACAACATACCCCCGAACTCCTTATCACAGAAACTTCCAAAGTAGTACTATTGCACAACAGGGAGAGTATTGATCGTCCGAGAAGACCGTTCAAGTGAGAGGCAACTACAACAAGGACCTGGTCATAGCTGAGCTCCCTATCTTGAGATATAGGACTCGGCCTAAATTATGTGTCCTAAAATGTTGGAAATTTGTATGAGGCCCTTATTATAACAGCAACCGACTTCAGGGACCAGTCTTACAGCGAACTGAAGGAAATCTCCATATAGTCATGCCACTGCTGCTGTCCCGTGAGCTAGGAACTTCCCGTCCACCTGAAATTGCTTGAACACACCCCCACCACCCCGAGCATAAACCCTACCACCCCGAACACTAAACATGGTGCCACAAGAAAATGGACTACCACAAGCAACACTTAACATTATAGGTTGGGGGGGTTGTTCGATGTGCGAGCGGTAATTACGAGACCTGGCCCATAAATCCACAATCCTAAACTTTGCACTCCCTGAATCCCAGACCCCAAACCACAAGCCCTAAACCGTTGACCCTAAACCCTGTACATCCCCCCATAACCCCCTTCAAGGGACCAGCCCCTTAAAACCCACTTGAACCTTAACTGCATCAAGGCGGGGCGCCTTTTAGCGAGGGCAGGTCAGTGACTGTGATGCTTTTCCCCGTCTCCAAAGTTGGCAGTGCTCCAACATGTTTCAAGGCACGTTGGTGCTGCAATGCCCAAGCAATCTTCCTTAGGGCCACATGAGCTATAGTCTAAACTCCTAGCATCCCCCGTAATATAAGCTTTCTGAAAGCTCCTATGCATTAAGCAGGACGACCATAATTCTCTACAGGCTCCTTGTAGGCCCTGAAGTTCCCCAACCATATCCTCCAGGACTCTTGTTCGGTACACTGCAATACCTTAACTCCTAGGGATTGGAGGTTGGGTACACATCGTGTCATACTCTCCCTCTCGTATTTCTTCCTTGCTTCCAAAACTGTTGCGAGGTGCCTTTGTTGAAGGGTCCTTGCGGCTACGTGTGGGCTACGTAGATATAGGAGTTTCTCAAAGTGGTGGTCCTAGGGACCCTAGGAATATTTGGGGTTATGAGAGGGCTAGTAAGGTCTCTGGGAAAACTTCTACTTGGAGGGTCAGGGGGACTGAGTAAGTAGGCTCATAATGGGGATAATTAGGGTCGTTATATGTCTTATAGGGGTTATTAAGCTACTTACTAAGTCCCCCTGACCCTCCGAGTACTGGATGCATTTTCGAGAAACTCCCATATGCCCCGAGGCAACAACTTTGTTCAAGGGATCCTCGGGAGTTAGACTAATTGCTATTTAGGGCTTATGGTTTAGGGTAAACCCCAAACCTGAATGTCACGCCGCTCTTGTGTTTTTGACAGGCATGGGCAGGGCAAGCGAACTCGTTGCAATGGTCAAATGCCCCGAATATCCACTCTTGGGGAGCAGTGAAGATTTGGCTTTTCAGGGGGAGGTGATTTGCTGGCTGAACTTGCGTCATGTCCTATATCTTAAAAATGTCCAAAATCGCTAGTTATGCTACCAAAGAAGAGGAGTTACTTAGAAACATTCTTAAATGCAAAACCTGAAGCCCTAAGGCCTAAACCCTAAGCTCAAGTTTACATGGTTCAGGGTTTAAGGTTTAGAAGATATGCGGGAGTTGGTGTTGGGCAACACCTCCGAGGCACTGTCAAACCTTTAACAGTACTACCTAAGCCTGCAGCACAAAAGATCAAGTCTCAAACCCATCAAATGTTGTCTCCAGCCTTAATCCCTATTTGAAGCGACAAACTGAACCCCACACCTTGCTTGGAGTTTCATGGGATGTTCTAAGGGCTGGGGTCTAGGGTGTAGGGTTTAGGGTGTAGGGTCCAAGGTGCAGGGTTTAGGGTGGAGGGTTTAGAGTGTAGGGTTTAGCGTTTAATCTGACTGTGGTTACAACCATACTTATAGTTGAGATGGCCCAAAAAAAATCCCGTTTCGGGGAGGCGTTAAGCAGGGTTACAGGCCCAGTTATGAATAGTTACTACATCTCATAAGCCCAAAACCGAAAACGATACATATGCCTACATATCCCGATATAATCCGATATATCGCTATATATCCCTATATATCCCTATATATCCCGATATAGCCCGATATATTCCTATCTATATTTATATGTATATATATCCCTTTGATCCTTTATATCCCTTTATATCCCTATGCAATTCTTACAACTCCTGAAAAGGGACCCTGGGTCCGAAATCAAAACCCAAGCCATGAACCCTAAAGTGGCAAGCATCTGATAATCACATCCAGGCCCGAAGCAGTCCGAGTCTGATACCAATGCCTTCTTGGCCACAAGCTCAGGCGATTCGCTTGCCTTAGAGTTTCAGGTTTAGGCATTAAGGGCTTTAAAAGTTTCAGGTTTAAGGGCCTAGGGCTTAGGGCTGAGGGCTGAGGGTTTAAGCATTTTTGGAAGTTAAAAGCTCAAGTTTTAAGGGCCTAGGGCTTAGGGTTGCTGGGCGGCCAATATACATGGACCACCATCATCCCTTCATAACCTCCAGATGACGCCAAGGTTGCCAAAATTCCTTGACGGTATCGATAAATCTTCTTTCAATCAATTTTTGGCATGGTGGCATCGCTAAAAATACTCTCTTCCAACCCGCAAGCCCAAGTCCCCTCCCCTGAACCCCCCACCTTAAACCATACTGAACTCAAGCCCAAAAACTGAACTTGCACACAAACCTTTACGTAGCACGCTGAAGATTTAGGCTTTAGGGCTTAGGGCTGCGGATTCGACGACCAAGTTGCAGGGTCCCAGCTGATGGCTTTGGCAAATCCATCAACGAACCATGTCGGTTTCGGTTTCACGTCGGGCTGGCCCTCAACAAGAAGCAGTAGCCAAGTCAGCAGGTGCGTTGCAAACTCCATGCTTACAGCATATCCCCCTATGCTGCATGGGAGAAGACAAGGCTGCATCATGAAGCTCAATTTCTGACACCATGGCCAAACAACTTCAGAACAAGCCCAAGCAATGCAAGACACTGGTCTTTAAAAGAAATGCCAAGACGCACAGAGCCCTTTTCTTGTTCAGCGCTGTCAACTGCACTGGTGCCATGATGGCGCCTACCTCTAGAAGTTTACCATGGACCTGACGCCCTTGAAGGGTACGGGTCCATTTGGTGCTCCACACATCAGTACGACGAGTCCTGCACTCCATGCTGGGACTGGGATTGAATGTTAACCTGCATCTGATACCACGTGCCATGCAAAGCTCAACTATGCCAGCACGGGCCAATGCAAACAGCATGACTGTGAGCAGACTTTGTCCGGCTCTGCATGCATGAGGAAAAAAAACCTAATTCAACACCTGGATCACGCTTTGAGTTGCGCTTCACACCGAAGGGCCATCGGCCGCAGCAGCCTTCACAGCCGGTCCATGGAACATCCCACCGTGCTCCGCCCAGTAGTAGCACGGTGTCAACAGGGTCCAGAACATTACATAGCCCGCATGAATCTGGAAAGGCAAGAGCGGGTCCTGATAAATAAAATTTGGCTTGAACAGAACATCCCACCCTACGGAAAATTTAGTGCCCCCACCTAAGCTATAGCATCAACATTGACTCTCTGGCAGTCCTCGATCGGACGGTAGAAGCCGAAGCCGGCAATGACGGCACCCAGGTTTCCGCCCGCACCGACCAAGGCGGACACAATGGCCAACTGTTGCTTGTTCATAAAAGGCACGATACCATAAGAGGTGCCCTCAGCCATCTGCACAAACAAGCTGAAGCACAGGAGCACGGCCAAGGCCACATACCACGGCTGGCTGTTGTCCACAAGTCCGAAGCAGAAAAGGAACACGGCTTCGAAGAAGAGCGACAAGAACTGCGCCCAAATGCGGCCGCGGAAGCCGAACTTCTTGAAGAGCAGGTCAGAAGTAATGCCTCCCAAACTACGGGCGAAAAGGTTCATCAAGCCGAAAGAGCCCGCCAATGCAGAAGCATCTGCTGCCGCCATCTGGAAGTACGTGCGAAAGTGCGTCGCTAACTGATTGTTCATCGCGAGTTCCTAGGTGTGTATTTTTATGGCCATTAAGCCTTGGAGACCTAGTTGCCCACCTATCCCACCTAAATTCTAGGTTACTAACTTGGTAATGCGACACGGAGCCTGTTGGGGAATAAGCCCGTGGTCGCAGGTTCCTAAGCACCAGCTTTTCAGGTGCCCTATCCATTTAGTTTCTACAGACCGAGTTGCCCTTCGCCAGTTCTCAAAATTTTGACCAGTTAAGACGGACATGCAGCCATTACGCCTCGTAAAACGACAGGGACTGGCGATTAAGCGCAAATTGCATTTGGATACACAGTGTTTGTTCAAATCACGTGAGTGTTCCTCTGTCATCTGTTAGAGTGCTTTCGTCTGCGAGGTCGTCTCCGTCGCATGTGGCAAAACGGTGGCTTGCAGCTGCCTTCATTGGTGCCCTCAATTCCAAATAATTGTAAGACAAAAAGGTCCCTTGGAACTCAAGGAACGTGAACTTGCGGTTGAGCGCTAGGCATACATTTTGTTGCTGGACATGTTACGGGACTTCTTTGCCTGGGGGTGGATTGCACAACATCTATGTCCCCACGTCTTCGAAACTACATGGTGTTTTTCGAAACAACAAGCTTTTGCCAAAGAACTTCATGTAGGTGCTTGGAAATCAGCCATGATTTTGATACAAACTTTTTGACATGTTGAACCAAATCTGGATGCTTGGTTTTGTTAGGCTTCTCGGTTTCGGTGGTTTCTGTCCTCTCACTTTACTGAAATGAGACCCCTGTTGGAAAGCTGCAGCACGCACATGAGGCTGGGCCCACCACTGCGCCATGACAGGCCGCCACTTGAAATGCGTCCAAAACTTGCAACAGAAAAACATGGCACGGAAGACACACGAGCGTTGGTTGGTTGCAATCGCACCTTCGACTGGGAATTTTGCAACTATTTTCCGTCCAGCTGCGCCCATCAACATGATTTTCTCACATGTCTGTTGGAGTTGCTTGCTGGACTCTGCCCGGCCTCTGCTTGCACGGCGGGCTGCTCAACGTGGCCTTCTTGCGGCAGCCGCAAGCGCGATACCACCTTTACTGTGAGCCTTTCAATGCGAAAATTCAAGTTAGTAGTGGTTCTGAATAACGATACATGTCCTATTATATTCCACAAGCTGACATAAACCAATGCAATACAAAATGGCAACTGATTAACCACTGCGCATCATGGATAGCTCAAACTTCCTGATCCAAGATCGTACGCCACTCTAATAAGTGCAGCTACACTTCCCCGCAACCAACTTCGGAACACACAGGCTAGGCTGGTTTGCATCACCAACCTCTGCCCCGGAGGTCGCGGCTGATGTTTTTCATTTCCGAACTGTCGTCTGAGGCACCACAACTGCAATATCAAGCAGGCCGCCACACTGACACAACACCCGTGCCTCGCTTCACCCGGCAAGACTGATTCCGTCTGGATCCTTTGCTTGCTAGTCAAAACCAACACTGACACACCTATCATGGCCACATCGGCCAATTGATCTGCAATTTGTGATGGCACCGAACAACTACAACACCCTCAAGGTTGGTTGGGCGGGCCATGATGGCTCAAATCCAAGAGTGCAGGACTCAAGACCATCGCAGACGACAAACACAAAGAATGTGCATGTTGGATGTTGCACCTTCTCTCGAACACGATGTGTCAACAATATCTCTTTGCCCGTATCTGCTGGTCTTGGCCTCTGGGCAAACACTGCCGCTTCCAGTTCGTCAATGGCTTGCAACAAAAAGGAAACGCCAAGAACACGCGCAAACGTCATTTCGTTGCAGTCGCTACAGTACATGTCAGACGAAATTTAACAAAATTCACATCAACCACGCGACATTCCCGGCATACACAATGGCAACTGATTAACCACTGCACATCATGGATAGCTCAAACTTCCTGATCCAAGATCGTACGTCATTCTAGTAAGTGCAGCTCCACTTCCCCCGAGGCTTGAGGCTGGTCTGCATGGCCAGTGTGTGTCACGGAGTTCGCAACTGATGTTTTTGTTCATTGCAGATCTGTTGTCTCAGACACCACAATTGCGATATCAAACGGGACGCTACACCGACACGTTGAAGAGAACACTGACACACCTGTCATGGCCACATACAATTTCTAGATACGACGACCTTTCGGAAAACCTTAGAAGTATTGGTGGATTCATCAATTTCAGTGGCGTTCAGGATGCGGCTCATCAGTTTGCAGCTGGTAGCGCCGATAACCGCTATGTGGTAGAAGCTGCGTGCACGATGCTGTATGCAGGACGTTTACAAGAAGTGATGCCAACAAGTAATCTCTACGATGGGAACAAAAATACTGTGCACCACAACAAAGCAGGTGAAGAAGGGCAATCACGTAATCCCAGCGAACGATGAACATGGCTGGAGCACAAAACAATCTGGGAAACACATTCCGAAGTAAGTTTGCACCGTGCGTAATGCACATGAAAATCCTGCTGCATCACTGAGAGCAAGCCGTCCATCGCAGAGTGTCATCATTGCACCCCGTCGCGGACGACATTTATGCGTGCGAAAGGGGTTACGCTCATTAAGCAACACGGCAAACAGTGTAAGGTATGATACAACTAGAAGAGGCTCTCATAGTAAACCAACGGCATTGGCTTCAAAACTCACGACGTGATGATAGAAGAATACCTAGCTTCCTCTCTCGCGCCCTCGAAAACAAAAATCTTAGCAGGACACACCTCGTGGCAGCTGCGCCCTTTACAGCACAAAGTGCACTGGAGGCGTGGCGAAAACGGTGGGAAACGAGTTTGACTTGCATGCACCCACCAGGGAGGCAGGTTGAAAACAGGCTTTGAGGACCAGATGTCAGGCTGATGGTGTCTTCAGGAGGGTTGTACGACTTGCCTTACTGGGGGTTAGTAGGGAATATAGTATATAGGGATTATTTTGAGATTGTATGTCCCTTATGCCCTGCTAACCACCAGTAAGTTGCAACAACAGTGATCCTGACTCGATAATCGCAACAACATTCCCTCTCGACGAGCTTCCAAGACGCAGCATCTGCGACAGACTTGGGATGTCTGCGCGTGTTTCAAATTCATGGCTTTGGAGTGGAAAGTTAATTCTTAAACCACAATCACAAGAATTGCCAAATAAATGCAAAAACACACCACCACTGGAATTTGGAACTGCGAGTAGTGGTGGTCAGCACCTGTCATATTGCAGAGACAATTCTCAAACTAGAAAAGTTATGCTGCGATCTTGTTTGTATTCCTTCCTTCACTTCTTGTTTTCTTCCTGTCTTCTTTGCTTTGTTTCTTCCATTCTTCTTTCCTTCCTGTTGGCTTACTTCCGGAATGAGTTCCTGGTATAAATGCTAAAAATCACTTGTCCTGCGAAGATGCAACGGAAGCTCAGGAAATCCCCCGGCCTCCCTGACAAGAAAAAAATTGGGAACAAACACAACCTAGGGTTTAGCGTTTGGGGTTTAGGGTCGCTAGGTGGACCTCCACCCTGTAATAGTCACTATAAAGGAAAATGCCTATTTTCCGATTATACCACTATTACAGGGTGGGGGGTCCACCTAACCTATTCGACTGCGCCTCTGGCTGACATGTGACATAAAGTCTGATACTCAGCAGTTCCGGTTACCACACATACACAATCACGCATCACCAGCGCAACGTAGTCAAAAGGATCCTGAGACCTGCTAATTAACCCTGAAACGGTCGGAATTTGGACCTGCCAAGGCCTAGTGGACATGACAATCTTAATCCCTTCGTTTAGCGTTTAGGGTTTAGGGTTGAGGTTTTGGAGGGTATTTGGACACGGAACGCCACAGAGCCACCATGCACAAAACGTGGAACTGACCTGTGGCCGGACAAGATTACGGGCAGCTGCGTGTGCAGCATCCAGTATCAGCTAGAGTCTAAACTCCTGAAAGGAGGTTATATCGCGGACTAAATAGGGGACGACTATAGGGGTTATTAAGGAGGATACTAGGAGTTTAGACTATGGCTCACATAAGCACTCTAGTAACAAGATCAACCCAAAACCACCTCTGGATCTCCTTGGGTCTCGAAGGAGCATCCTGCGATATCGGAAACTAATCCCTTCCCCATATACTCTCCCGTAAGGAGATAGAATCTGGGGTATATGGGGCTCTTTCTAAAAAAATACCCAAAGCCATATTCTATCTATTTAAGGGGACTATAACATGAAATGTCCCCCACATTCTGAACAATCCCACTGCAATAGACAAAAGTAAACAAGGAATATTTGATTCTGGGAGGTAGGGGAGGTTAACTGGTTCCATTTTCTTTTCCCTTCCCCTAGAAAAACCCCATATACCCGTTTTGGAGAGTTTTAATATCAGGGAAGGAGAGTACGAAATAATCTCTTATCTGATCCATATATAATCTCTGCATAAACCCATCATTTCACAACAGGGATTTGAGGACGCAAATGACGGGGTCTCCTTTCTGGTGGTTTATGGTAAGAACTTGGGGGTCTAAATTTGGGTCCTCCTGGTCTTGGAAACTTTAACCCCTAATAATGCTACACGCCACGCTGCCATGCTAATCGCAGCAGGAGGCACATGAGTGCAAGTTGATCTAATGAAGGTCCTTTGGAGGAACTATTGCGGACTATTCCGGGTTCCCCTATTATAAGTCTATAATTAAAAATATGAGGGAATAATGTTCAGAATGGCAAGTAAGGTTTAGGGCTTAGAGGTTGCTTGGCCAAGAAGTGCTGAACCCTAAACCCGGAACCCTAAACCCTAGACCCTAAACCCTATACCTCAAGCCATGTGCCAAGTCTCAGCTCCGAAGCAAGCGGAATACTGTGCAATCATAACTACCACACGAACGTCCTCACGGGGATGGAGTAATACACTCCCCCAAACTAACATGGAAACCCATATAGCCCCCCTTTAAAAGGAATGTAGTCTTTATAGGGCCCTTTTTGGGTTTCCATGTTAGTTACCGGGAGGGTATCTGGAGAAAATACCTACATAACCCTATTCCAATATAGTAGTTTGCAATTTCTTTCCACCATTGGAGTAGTATGCCTATGTAAAGATTTCAGGGTGGGCGTTGAGATCTTAGAGTCGCTTTGAGGGTTATGAAAAGGGAGACCTGTTCAGTTGTTCCTTTTGGGGTACCATAAATATTGGGGGCGCGTTTGTCGTTTTTGGGACACAAAAGGGACCATTTTTCGACAACCTACCCTTTGGAAAACCCCAAAACTTGCCGCTTTTGGCTAACTTAACACCTGTCCTTGAGCACCACACAATAATCCATCATGGATGGCTTCTGGGTCTTGCCAGTCACGGACACGTCGAAACGCCTGACCACGGGCTGGTTCAGCTTATTTCTGATGAGTTGGAACTTTGCTGAGTTGAAGTCTGTAGTATTCAGGCCCCCTGTTTGTGGAAACCCGTTTAATGATTGGCGCCTAGCTCTCTCCCTGAATGAGCTTCCCTGCCCCCCACTATTGAGTCATATGTAGACATCGAATAGATGCCCCAATCTGGCACACTTGACCCAGCCCAATATCAGCAGCACTGTCTCGGCTGACCTGACCTGACAGCCTTCTCCCACGTATGAACAAGTTCATAATCAGGAGGCTCTGACCAACTGACTTAGCTTTGGTTAGCTAGGACTGAAGGAATGGATCTTGCTGATAGTCCCTATATCACCCATTACAGTACTTTTTTTATGCTGACAAAATGCTTAAGTTTTTCTTTTCCATTCCTTCTAAACCCTAAACCCTAATCCCTAAACCTTATAAAATCCCATCATAGTAGTTTCCATTTTGTTTTCCATTCCTTCTAAACCCTTAAGGTTTCGTGTCCTGAAAGGAGTGTCCTGAAAGGATTCCAAGCCCCAAGCCTAACTCTCAGAGTAAGGTCGTGCTTTTGGGGCTTTAGGATGGAGCTCAAGGGCCTCTCAATGAAACCCTTGAGAGACAGCTACTGCCAGAGGGAATGATCCAATGTACAGTGCGGGTCTCTAGACCCTAAGCCCAGAGCCCTAAACCCGAGCGCAGGTCCCCAAACCCCAAACCTAGAACTAGAGGTGTGAAACTACTCCAAATGATCTGGCCTTCATCCTTTAATCCCAACAGACGAGAAGGCCCATCACATGTGTTAGGATTTAGGGTTTAGGGTTTAGGATCTGGGGTCTAAGGCCTGGCGACCTCGCATGCCATCTAGCGAGACCTGCTGTAACCTATCCTTTTACTCGTCCATCTACAAGAACCTTCATGAGCTTGATGGATTGCCTAAGACTGGCCCTACTTTCATCCTAAACAACCCTGAGGGCTCTGAAAGTCATAAACCTGCGCCCTTTTGGAGGCTTTAGGGTTTATGGTTTATGGTTTAGGGTTGTGGCGTCTATTGAACCTGAAAGCGCCTCTGATGCATCAAAATACACATCTTAGAACTGGAATTAGTCTACAGAAGCTTTTCTAAGCAGTACATGGCTTCGAAAATAACTTCTGCCTTGGGGACCCTGATTGTTCCCTGTTGATCCTAGGAGAACTGAACAAAGCACAGAGTCTCTAAATGCCTCCTGCTTTCAGTTGAAAATTGTCCCCTTGCAAAACTCAAAGGCGCAACATGTTTATTTCCTGGTTCGTGTTTTAGTTGGCGACCCGCTTTTAGTATATTGGGTAAGTTGTAGGACCGAAAAACAAGAAATTCAGGAGGATGGAAGGATGAGGACTACTGTTCCTTGCTCTCTGGTTCTGGCGCTCTCGCTTGCGCAAATTTGCTGTTAAACTTGCTGTGGAGTCTCGGTTGATGGCTTCTGGGCTTTGGTGTTATGTAATCTTTGGACTAAATTTGTAGTATATCCCTTCATAGGTCCCCGCCAAAACCCTAGATAGTCCTTTATGGGGCCCCCCCAACCTAAATTTAGTGCGTAGCTCAATGTAATCTTTGTATGTTTTTGCAACTCCGAGACCCACAAACCCAAAACCAACAATGAACAGTTCTGCGCATCTTGGTCCTGGGTTTTAGGGCACTATAAGTTTGGAACAAAAAATGCGTTCAATGCGCCCAGACCCTGGACTTTTCTAAACATGGAATCAAAATTGCCACAATTTGAGACCCTAAACCCTAAACCCAAACCTTGCGCTAGAACTCCTTACCCGATCCCTGAAGGTGCCTGGCTGTTGGGGTGTCCCAGCAGAGAAGCTTCAGGCTGATAGCGACGATGAGGAACATCACCTTCGTTTAGGGCTTAGGGCCCGGAGCTAGTTCAGTTGCCATAATATAGGGATAACTTAAAGGAACATCACCTGGGTTTAGGGCTTAGGGTCAGGAGCCAGGACAGTTACCACAATATAGGGATAACTTAAAGTAAGTTCGTTAACAGCAACCCAGTCACTGCCGGGACGATCATGGCCACGCGCCATGCGGTGTCCGGGAGCATGCCGGACTCTACCATCGGATTAAAGAGCACACTCATCCTGGGTTGCTGTTAAGGGACTTAAATTAAGTTACCATAATGGGTATATATAGTAAATAATAGGGTTTCCCCAATACAGTAACTTAAATTAAGTTCCTTAACAGCAAGCCAGCATCATGAAGATCTGGGTGACCTGAGCTTGGGGAGGTTACCAGGGTTGCAGCTTTCGTTAGGGTTTAGGGTTTAGGGTTTAGGGTCTAGACATTTCAAAGCGAAGGACTTGAGGGTCTGCGTGTTCATGTTCGCAAAATCCAAAACACAACTATATGCTGACACAGATTTGGTATTATATAGGGTATATGTTGGGATTATATAGCGATAATGAAACAAATTGAAACTACTATAATGGATTATTTAGGGTTTAGGCTGGTATGGTACCCTACACCCAGGAGATCTCTTTACTTTATCATGTTTTTCAAATAAGTCACACTCTGCTTACCGGTCGCGTTTCCTGCAACTCGTCGCCACAAGTCACATGAGAACCCTGTTGCGCCCACTGGTCTAAAATAGTACATATTGACAGTACCATAATAGTAGTAACAATAATAACTAGGGATAAACAAGCACTGATGATAGTAATAAGAAGAAGAATAGCTAGTAATAATGATATCATAACGACAATGCCAAGCGACTCCGCCACCGAGGTTGCCCCATCCAGCCGCCGTGGCGTTCGCGGTGCCGATCACATTGGGGGCAAACATCAACGAGCACCAGAACTGATTGGTGACGAACCTGCGCACTCGCAGTTGAGGGCTTAGGGTTTGGGGCTTTGCGTCAGGATGGTTTCTTTGATGGTGCCTTTTTCTTATCGCAGCACGGTTAGACAGCTTTTTCAAGCTAGGCCGGGGTTTTGGGCTAGGGTCCAGGGTTTTAGGTTGTGGCATTCATAGTTTTGCTGGGGGTCTGATTCCTCGACCATACGTCACAGGCTACTTACAGCCTCAGGCCAGACACCCAGCAGTGAGACTGAACACCTCACACGGACTTCCCACTCGCTAAGCTTGCCGAGGCATTCTGCGACGTCCTAGATTTGAGGATTTGGGAGGTAAACGCCGCCGCGCACTTTTCCAATCTTTCACTCATCTGCCCTCCCAGCCCCCTAAATATGAAAGACGCCGTGCATTCCGACAGTACCACAACCATGTTGCGCTACAGCCCTAATGCAACTGCGGGATGGTCCAGCGTCCCTTGCCTTCCAAGCACAGGAGCGCTAGCCAAATCTAGAACTTACGAACTGCAACTGCTGAACCACTGCTGAACCCCAATCTCAGCCTATCTCCCTCTAAGAACAAACACGACAATCCCAACAAACGCTGACGGTTGCAAGCTTGAGTGGTGCAACCTCACTCCGGAGCACGCCAAAAACAAGATGTCCCAAGGGCTCCCCAAGAGGATCGGGATAGTTTCAAGTCTACGAGTAGTGCCCGACAACCCCGAACCGCGTACGCCACAAGGCCTCAAGAAAAATCCTTAGAAGCATGCGATAGAACAAGGACTGCCGTCCATGTCAGACGTTGTCAATGCCAAGCTGCGTAGCACCGGCGCAACCGATGAAAAAGCCTCTGGGGTGAAGCAGATCTTGGGGATGGTTGAGGTTAGAGCAGAACGGCAAACAATCCAAGCACATTTAGAATCATGCAACCCTATTCATGAGCTCTGTATTTACGTCCAACAGTAGCAAAACAGTGGAGGTTGGTTGGCCTGTGAGGTCTCGCTGGACGTTGACAATGCTCAAGCGCTTTCCGTGGCATAGGATAGGACAAACACTATCCAGTAGCTTATGGAGATAGGCTTGCAAACTCGAGCGCGAATGCATGGCAAGCGGCGGATCATTGTGTAGTTCCATGGCGCACTAATACCAGCCGCTGCAGCCACCCATATCGCTCCGAAAGTCAGTAGACCTCACGTGTGAGTGCTGAGAGATTGCAACCTGACACGGGGTTGGCATCCATCATGATTTATAGCAAACCACAGGGTGCAGGCACACGGCTCACTAGCAGCTGAGTTCGAGGCCTGACTGCACATTCACCTGGCACGATTTTGGAAACTGATCGCAAGGTGATTGAATCTTCCCTTTGGTCTACATGTTCAGCTTGCATTACCACTACATGGTCATGAACCGAGAACTCACCAGCTTCACTCTTGTGATGATTACCAGCAGCCATGACTCTACCCCAAATTGGAGCCACAGCCCTTGAACCCCCAATGTTGCCCAGTGACAGGGCCGAATCGCTCCAGAAGCGTGCCTGCCAGTTCTTTGCGTCATGGGTCGGTATCAAATCAATGGCTCACGGCCGAAGGCTTGCGTTTTTGAAGCGGCAGAATTCCCAATGGACCCAATGGTCGTGGACATTGCTCAGAATCTACCATTTTAGGAATTTGCATGTTATTGAAACATGATGATGACAAGCAGCAACAAAGGTCTACCATATGCGCTTCTTCCCAATTCTACTCCAAAAACGCTGAAGCCTACATGTGGAAACAACGTCGCTCGGAGTTGGACCCTATGCTACAGCTGCTATAGAACCCAAAAAGCTTGTGCAAGTCAAGTGTCCCAGCGCAATGCGCACGAAGATCGTACTGGCAACCGCTGCGACGCCAGCGTTTGCAATCATGCCGTTGCCTTGGTCAAGCTCTCAGCGCAGCCTATATCATCCTAAAAAAAGCTCATCCAGAATATATGAACTCGGAGAACATATCTTCGTGAAAACAGAGTTAACCTCATAATGCCTACATAACGCTTGCTGTCACCAAGAAGTCCAATAAAACACCCGAGACAACCGTGCGATCTGCGAATTTCCCATATTACTGCATACACCCACATGTGCCTATGGAACACCTTGCTGTGAACATTGGCTTCTCCTTCGGAGCAGCGGCCCCTAAGCAAGACACTCATTGGGAGAGACCGCGTGCTTTTTGCTCCTATGTTAGCCAATCTCTTGCAGTCCAAATCTCGGGACTGTGGCTATTTTCCCTCTGGGGCACGAGAGCCTTGAGCTCTCCCTACAACCTGCGGGGTATGCAACGTGCTACGCGGAGAAAAAAACAGAACGAAGAGAAAAAGACGGAAGCAAACAAACGCAGGTGCCGATTTCATATGAGGCAAGCAAGGAACTACCCACACCAAGACAAGCATGAGGCGCAAGGCGAAACCTAAACAAAGCCTTAGCCCAAAACCCTCAGTCTGGGGAAGCTTCCCAAAGTTCACCAAGGCACGAACCGAAGTAAATAAGGCAACGGGCTCAAGCCCATGCTCGGAAGAGCAAGAATGCCAAGCAGTTTATAGCAAAGCCTGGCTAAGTAAGGCATAAATACAAAACATGATCCATGATGGAACTTGTAAGTGACTATGTGACATTACCTGGTTACATCTTCCGTTTCCTGCCAACTTGAAGACGAACACCCTCGCTATGCCAGCCTAACACAGTGCTGTCGAAAATAGACTTGGATCAAAGGGACCATGCCAAGTAGGGGAGCCAGAAAGCAGGAACAAGGCCGATGGCACCCCTGAGAACCTTAACCACAAGACCTGTAAATTAGACCCAATAACACACCGAAGCCAACTCATCCAAATGGTGATTAAAGGCCATGGCTGTAGCCTTGGAAATTCATGGGACTTGATTAATACTTAAGACTGCGTCTCTTCAAAGGGGTTCTAACTTAGGTAGACCCCCCCACCCTGTCAAAGTGGTAAAAGAAAAATCCAAAAATGTAAAATGGCCCGAGTACAGTCACCACTATCCCTTTTAGTCATTATTACTGGGGAGGTCCCCCTAATATAGGGGGTTTATAGGGTTGAGGGCGGAAAAGATCGGGAAAAATGAAATGGGAACTGGAAGTATATAGGGATTTAGCAGGATGATCTTGGATAAATACCTATACCATCTTGAAGTCTATTTGAGGTATCCTTTACCATACATAGTTATATGCGGAGTCTGTACGCATAATGTTGGGTAATTATTTAAGCGTCTCCGGTAACTAGGGTGGGTGGGCTTAGAGTTTACTTGCCATAGGAATTGGAAGAAAATGAGACTGACTAATTGCTTTATGATTGGGGATTCAATGAGGCTTCCAATCTATATACATATCTAGACCTCTTTATCCATATCATAGCAACTTAATCGAAATTCCTCAACAGCAACCCTGCCAACGCACACCTGGAGGGCAGGACATTAGCAAAGCCACACAACAACTACAGAACGCGGGTAGGGACCAGGAAGCTGAGCGCAGAGGGCGAAAGACAGCAGAAGCTGCGGCCAAGAGGAGACAAGGGTAAACTCAAACAGCCGTGCGAGCTGAAAGAGGGAGTGGGGTTAGCCAGAAGCGAGCAAGAGCACGGCAAGGAACTGGCGCAAAGCGGCAGCTTCAGGAGAAGGGCTCGCCCAACCAAGCCAGAGAAGGACATCTGGAAATGGCATTGGCTCCAAGGAGGGATCAGAGGCTGCAGGGACATTGTCGAAAGGTGCTCATCTACAGGGAACACTCATCCAAGGAAGCTTGTGGCCGCGGAGGGCTCCACGCAACATGAGATCAGTATCTTTTCTTTTTTGGGCGAAAAGTCTGGCCACTCACAGGTCAGCACGCTTGTTCAGCCGAGCTAAGGCGAAGCCCGAAGTGTCACTATCATGAACGTGTCTTTGCTGGTTAGGGACTCCTTGTGCTCTTGTGGCTGGCAGATGGAACCACAACTCATGAGCATCCATGAGTCTCCCTACCCAGACTAGACTTGCAAGTCAAAAGTTGATTTTTGTAGGCTTTTCGTCTGGGGTCTAGGGTGTAGGGTGCAACTTAAGATTTAGCATGCCATGTTTGTGGACGGGGCATTCAGGCGAATACGAAGCCTCACTGACCGGACACGGTTGCACAAGCCGAGTACCAAAACTGCTAGAATTCCTGCCAATACCACTATGATTAATAATACACCAATTACTCATAGTGGGACCATCTTGCTTCGTGCGGGTTTCTGCCGTGTGTGGGAGTACCGGATGGTTGGGCCAAGCCTGGCTGGTACATGCACATAACTCCAATCCCTAGACCCTGAACCCTAGTCCCTAAACCCTAAACCCTCGTCCCTAAACCCTAATCCCTGAACACTAATCCCTAAACCCTGGACCCTAAACCGCGCCCCGAGCCCTAAGGACACCCCAGCTACTCTAAAATAGTTGGTCGGGGATCCTACCAGCGGGTGGATTGTCCTGAGGGGGGGGAACGATAATTGCCATGATATATAAGGACTACTTTCAGGATTCATCTACAAGGGTCCATTCCCTCATTGCCCACTAAGTCCTGAGTCTTCAACTAAGCCTACATATAATGGAGTATTTTCCATTCTCTTTTCCATTCCCTACTAAGCACCAGATCGATATTTCTGAAACCTCAGAATGTAATCTCGATCCTACTCGGAAAGACCCCTGGAGCTAAGAAAGACACTACAGCTCCTCATAGCCCCTTCTAGGTAGGTGAATTACGAAACACTAGGCAGCAAAACAGTCAATTTAAACCAGGTTATAACCTAGATCCACCTAAAGCTGCTGTTATAGGTCTCACTGGAAGTCACTAGTAACCAAAGGGTCCGACAGAGTATGTCCTTGTGCAATCCAGCTGCACTCAGTGCCAGCGGTGCAAACGCACTTCACAAGGACCTCTGGCCTTCATGAGCCACACGATTTTGGGTGTAGTGTTTACTGGGATAGGATTCAGG